AACATTTATAAATAAACTTCTGACTGGTTGACCATCGTGGCTGCCAAAGGTTAAAAAAAAAAAAAAAAAAAAAAAAATAAAATACACAGATAATCTGATATAGAAATTGATATGCATATAAATTAATAAATAATCTTTATAAATAAGGAATGAAATCGATTCGGTTGAAAAGTATCGAATATGATTTTTTTAATAATAATAAAAGAAAAAAAAATACCGTATTGTATCGTTGAAAGGCTTCATTGTGATAGTAGCATATTTCCGAGATCTTAGTCTAAACAAAGCTTATAGCTTCCCTAAGAATCTCATTGCGTAATTCGTCACAACGCAAACTCAAGATATGATACGATATGAATAAAAAAATTATATTCGGTAAAATGCTACGATAAGAAATGGTCTTTGAATAGGGTTAGTGCTCTTGACCATCTCCTCACTTTGAAAGGTAGCACGATCATTTGTGAAAGTCTCTTGAGAATAACGAATGATCTAGATAGTTTTTTTATATGTTTAATAAAATATTCAATTAGTAAATAAAAATATTCGTAAATGTAATTAAAATGTTATTAATAATAAAATTATTAAAATTTGATGGTTTTCAAATATATAAAATACTTGAATTTATGATTTGAAATGAATAAAGAAAAATATTAAATAATAATAATCATGTCTACTAAATCTGTTGCTTTTAATAATATTGTTAAAGAGCTCAAATTTGAATATGAAAAAAATTATGTAAAAAATCAAGATTTTGAACCTAAAGAAAATAATGAAATATACAAAGAAATGCTAAATGAAATTAAAAGATTACAAAAAGAAAATAAAGGATTACAAGAAAAAATTAAAGTTGATTCGCAAATTCTTGCTAACTGCCAATATGAAAATTCAATATTGAATGATGAAAAAAAAATAATTGAAGAATTACGTCAAAAATATAAAAGTGAAAAAAATAATTATAAAAATAATATTCAAAATAATTGTAAGATTATTGAAAATTATCAACATGAAAATATGTTATTAAATAATGAAAATAGAGAAATTGATAAAAAGTATCAATATGAAATTAAAAAATTAAAAGAAGAAGCACATAACGATATTAATCGAATCGAATACGAAAGAGATTTTTTTAAGCAAAAAAATGAAGAATCATTAAATTTTATATTGTTTATTAGTAATTTTATAAATATAGATACATTTAGAAATTTATTTTATAAATATGGAACTTATGAAAACTTTCATTATGATATTGAGATCTATAATGAAAATATTAATAATATTAATAATATTGAAAATATAGAAGATGAAGAATTCGATAATTTTTTAGTATAAATTAATATAATAATTAATTTTTTTTTATTCTTAATATTATTTAAATTTTGTTTAACATATTCATTTTTATTATTTTTATTTAATAAAATATATTATGATATTTTTTATTTTTAATATTAAAAAATATAAAAATAGTATTTAATTCATGTATTTGATAAATTAAATTGAAAAAAAAAATGAATTCTTT